TCTCTAGATCTGAGTGAGACTAAAACAATGCTTTGTGACATCATGTAAGTCACAGAAGCTCTCTAGGCCTCACGTGTCTCAGGGTAATTGCGAGGATTTGGTGAGACAGTGACATGTGTGGTGTTTTCTGTGAAATGATAGCACGTGTAGCATTCTGTTATTAACAGATTGTCATAAACACCATCAAGATCACATAGTGCCATTCTGATGGCATCATCTCGGTCACTAGTTCTGCTTTTTAAAATTTTCTCATATTCTGTCATCTCTTCCCACCCATGAATTTTAGTATATGTGCTGCCGAAGCGAGCACCCCACTCATGAATTTAAAGTATATTCATTTTTTTTAAAGCTCAGGACAAATTCCACTTCTGTGGATTCTGTTTAGATTTTCTTAGTCCACAATAATGTCTCTGTCTTTGGGGTGCTGTAGCTGTTTTTATAATTTGCATGTTTTTAGTTGTAAGTTGCAGGAAAAGAAAACCCAACAAAAACCTCAAACTGTCACACAAGAGGAAAGGAAGGTCCGTGATGGCTTTCATGGTAGCAACAGCTTTAAACACAGTGTGAACCCAAGACTGTGTATTTGACTAGGTTTAGTGACCATCTCTCCATTTCTCAGCAACTCTTCCTTAGTGAAAGGTCCCTTACTTGGGGGCTTTGCTCCATGGCAAGGTGGCTGCATATGGTTCTGAAGATTATGTGTGTCCTGTCTGAAGTGTAGCAAGAGCGAGGAAGTTCATTTCCTGTAGGGCTTTGACAAAATTCCCCAGACTGAGTCTCAGTGGCCTGGTGGGTCTAAGTGGGTTCAGATCCTATCCTTGAGCTGGTTACTGTGTCCCATTGCAGTGGACTCTAATGAAAGGATTTATCAAGTTGGACCCCATTGTGAGACAGGAGAGTGGAGTGAATTGAACATGACCTAAATCTTGGGAACTGGTGGGAAATGTTAGGAAGAAGGAAGAGGAGGGATTGATAAAAGGGAGGTGGCCAACAACTGTTCAGAAAATGTTTATATTGGTTATTTTATATGTGTATAACTAGCTATCCATTTATATGTCATAAGAGACTGAAAATTCCTTGAGGACAGGGACCTTGCGGTATTGTTCTTCTTTTAAAAAATATTTCTCTTCCTATCTACTCTACCATGTCTCAAACCTCCTTATGTGTTGTATATACTTACTAACAATATTGAATGACATTCTTTGTTAGATAATAATGTTATCTAGAATGAAATAGGCAATAAAGGAAAATATTCAGTAATTCCATATACTACTATGAGCAAGAAAAGTAGGTAGGATGGGAAGATAATAAACCTAATGTTTAAAATAAATCTTTATCACAGACTGCTTTCCCCTTTATTTGGGTGTGAATTACTCACACATTTGGATATGGCCTGCAGCTTGGTTGAACCTGCTGGTGGATACTGAAAGATCATTTCATGAAGAGAAAGTTCCTGTCTTTTTAGCATGTTAAACATGTTGTCAATGAAATGAGAACTTTCAGACCACTATAGATTTATCATAGGTGGTGCTGTGTGAAGGAAAGCTATATTAACCTTTTGTTGATTTGAAGTCATTTTACCTTATGCCCAGGAGCCCAATTAACATTACAGTATTGATTTGAATCATACTCATCAAGATCAACTTATTTTGTGCTAATTTCCTTCAACACAGAGAGAACTGAAACCAAGCACAGAGGAGTTGAGACAGAATGATTGATTTGACTATGAAAACCATGTTTTGTACCATAATCTCATTTTAATGCTTCAGTGGTTAAGTTGTGCCAAATTGCTTTCGATGAGGCAGCCATTTTCTGGTTTGGATTCTGCATAGGTCTTACATTGGTCTGCTCTTTACACAGTGATGCTACCTAAGAACCACCTCATTTGTTCTCCTCCTCAGGGCCTGTAGGTTGACTGTGGTTTTGCTGATCTAGACTGGCTAACTGTGCTCCAGGGTATGGGGCACAGCTGGCCTTGACCCTAGGCTCCATGTGGCCTTCACGTTTGCTCTGTGTGTGTTTGTTTTGGGGTCCAGGTGGAGGGACAGAAGCTACCTAGAACATGCCCTCACAGTAGGTCCGTGGAATGTGAGAGCCATGCTGATAGCAGAAGCACACTTAGGTTCTCTGTTCATATGATGCTGCTCAATTTCATTGGCCTGAGTGAGTCTCTGCTTAGTGGCCATTGCTGAGCAATAATCCAAATTATCATGCGCTTTCTGGCTGTGTAACTCTTAGGCAGAATCTTTAGGTGAGTTACTTGTTTTTCATCAGACTAGTGAAGCTAGGTCTGCTTGGAATTGAACAGATATCATGACCTATACTGGGAGAGAACACTTCTGAATTTCACATAGGATTAAATTTGTGGAAGCAACCACCCCTCTAGACTGAATACTTGAAGGTAAAGGTAGCATCCTGTTTTCTCTTGAGTCCCAAAGAACCCAGCACATACTACACCATCAGTACATAATGAACGCATGAATCGACAAATAATTCATGAATAATGAATGGCAATCTCATTTCCTTTGTAGAATAGCCAAAACCAGGAATGCATTGTAGAAGTTAAATGAGAGGAAAGCTGTTAAGTAGTTAAAGTAAAACCTAAAGCATGCGTGTGAGCTCATGTGTGTTAGTATGACCCAAAATATATGTATACATCTATATTTAAGTATGTATATATAATAGATGCTATAGGTTACATAGTATATATACACATGTGTGCACATGTGTATGTTGATAATATATAATATATAGTATATGTATGTATATACATGGATGGATTTACAAGGCAGGCTTACAATGGCTGCCTGCGGAGTCAGGTGGAAGAATGCAAAAAGGCCGTCTGTGCGCTGGAGAGCTGGAGTATCCAGTCAAAAGTCCTGGAGCTCACTGCAGAGTCTGGCACCAGTCTGTATTGGGAAGCTGAAGGGTCTGCATTGGAAGGTTGAAGAGTCTGTGCTGGAAGCCTGAAGGAACTGGAGATGGACATCCAAAGGCAATGTGAAGATTGTGAAGCCTGGAGCTCCTCTGAAGAAGCAAAAAAAGGGCAGACTTCCTTCTTCTTTCCCTTTTATTCCATCCAAGCCACGAGCCTATTGGTTGGTGCCACCCACACCCAGGGTGGGTCTTCCCTCTTCAATAAGTTATTATCCAGACACACCCAGAACTGTGCTCCCTAATCCACTAGTTCTTTGTTCTTCAAGTTGATACCACAGTTAACTATCACAGCTTCTCAGAGTACTGGAATTACAGGTGTGCACCACCACGTCCTATTTTATTGAAATATTTCATAAAAGGAAATCTTTGGTCATTATTGCATTTTCTTTCCTTTTCATGTAGTTTCTCAGAAGTGGGGAATTTCTGAAATCTAGAATCTTGGGGTAAGGATGAAATTTTAAGTTATTCTAAAAGTGAGGTTAGCAGTAAGAAGACCTAGATTTATAGACTGACTTTGCTACTTACCTGCAGTGTATCCTTGGGCTAGCCAGAGTGGAAAGAAGGAGGGACAGGAAAATAGTATTTATTTGGTGTACGTAAAGGTAACTCATTTAATCCTTATAGTAGCTCAGTGAAATTGGTATTTTATCCTTCCTTTATCTACAGGGAGCTTGAGGCTCTGAGAATTAAATATTTTCCTTTATAAGAACCAAGATGAGGAACAGAGTATCTTTACCCCCAAAGCTTATAGTTCTTGAGGTCTCATTTTTCTTCGTTCTGAAATGGGAGTAAGAATACTAGACAAGAATGGCTGTAAGAATTAAACATTTAAAGTGTGTGAAAATGCCTGATATACTGGAATAACCCGTAGAACATAACTGTTGCTTTGAAATATTTTTGAAAATTGCGTTTGTTAAACCTAGGTTAACACCTTTCATATTTGTTCATAGATCTGTTTACAGAACAATTTCTGACAATATTTTAAACTCTGTACCCAAATCCCACAATTTATGTAGGGACAAAGAGAGTGGTTTAAAAACTACTGGGCAGTCTGACAGTAAACACAGAGTACTGCATATGATATAGGAAAGCTCACCTGAGTCTCTGAGGTGAAGTGTTTTTACTGGGGCTTGATCACAAACTGGCCTCGTGATTGACCTTCAGTCTTCAACCCTTTCCATCTTTAAAAAAAAACTAGTGGTAGTCACTCATTTTTGTATACACAGAAGAATAGTTGATTTCTTGAATTATGTTTGGTTTATTAATTAGTTTTCACATATAGTCAATTAGAATTTCTAATGTATTTAAATGACAACCACATCTGCAGGATAAACCAAGTACTTGATCAGTACTCACTGGTTAGCCTGTTGGCACACGTTGTGGTGAGTTTATTGCCTGGAGAGAACTTGAGATATACCACAGAAGGCACAGTTTTTTTTTTTTGGTGTCAGGCTTTGTGTGTTCCAGTGTCTATGGCTGCGGTATACATAATGCCCAAATCATTTTCAGACCTAGTTATAGTTCATACTTGTACTACTTCTTGGGGCACAGAATAATATGTTACCTTCAGCATACTTTTTTATTTTTCTTGTTTCAGTTGGTATTCCTTAGCCTAACTACAGTGTGGTTCGTGTTTTCTTATGACTATTGGTTATAATTATTTTAATTTTGATCAAGCCTTCCCTGACTGCTTTCCCATGCTGACGATACTATCCTTAGTTTTATTTATTTATTTATTTATTTATTTATTTATTTATTTTTGGTACCGGGGATCAAACTCAGGTCCTGTCGCTTGCAGGGCAGGCGGCAGAACCACTGAGCTAAATCCCCAGCCCTATTCTTAGTTTTAGAAGCTGACACAGACTTCTGTCTCAAAAAGAAAGAAAAAAGGTACCAATAATTCCTCCCATCATTATATATTTTCTCAAACTTCTGTATTTTATTTTTAAGTGTATATTTTGGCAGTTATAAGCAATATTGAAAAGCAATTGTATGGTTATTTGAGAAATAATATCAGTAATAATGCCAGCAGTAGTTTATATAGTTTTTGCTTTTATTTTTAGGTTCATGGTTCAAAATCAATGAACATATTTGGTGGCTTTCGGCAGATGGTAAAAGAAGGAGGTATCCGTTCCCTTTGGAGAGGAAATGGCACAAATGTCATTAAAATTGCTCCTGAGACAGCTGTTAAGTTCTGGGCATATGAACAGGTAATTATTATCACCTGTGTAAATTATTAACAAAGAGGAGTTAGTAAACTGATTCAGTAAAGATTAGCACACAATGCTTTTGGGATTCTTGTTTTAGTACATGATAATTTTTCACATATTCTCCATGAGGAATTTCTCATAGATGATAATATTAGATAAACTCAGCAGTTCCTTATGGCTGAATTCTGGGATTCTCAACTTTATAATATTATTTGTAAAGACAAACTTCTGTGTTTTCTGAGGAGCTCTTAAAGGAAAGGTAAGATTTTAGCCTATTTATTTTGGATTCTTAGTAAAAGCTGGGCACTAACGTAAGTTTTACAAAAGTGTTCTAATCTAATCTCTGGAAAGAAAACTTTTGAGATGAAGACCTTTGTATAATTTGACATTGCTATAAGTGGCGCTGAAGGCTCCATAAAGGCAGGTGCTTGGCTTCTCCATGCCCTCTAGCAAGGAGGCAGAGCCCTGTGTGGGATACTGCTCAGTGTTTGTTGAATGGGTCAGTGAAAATGAATGCATCTTTCTCTGAATCAGCTTCTCTGTTGACTCCCACTTACTTAGACTGTTGAAGATATTGTTTCAGCCCAACTTGTTGGTAAGAGGAGATACCTCCTACAGTGGTTAAGTTTTAGAACTTGGTTTCTTTTAATGGTCATTAGCAGAACTGTTTAGTTGAACATCTGCAAGGTCATTTTTCTGTTATTCATTTCATCGTTGTTTACCATGGACTATACAGGTCTTGAAATTTAACTCGACCCCATATTTTTTGTTTTATTTTGAATAGACTTGAGATTATTCTGGAGTATATTTTGTTCCTGAACAACAGAACACTCTTGGGGAGATTTCTAAATCTAGTGGTGTCCCTTTCCTTTCTTAGGAAGTAGAGAATCAAAGAAGAAAAGTGAAGAATATCCATCCTCTGGGACTTTACTTAGAACCACTGATGAGACTTTTAGGGACATTTTAGAACTAATTTGGTATTGTCGTAGTTAGCTTGGGCTGCCATAACAAAATACTACCGATTGTGTGGTTTAAACAGTAGAAATGTATTTCTCATATTATGCAAGTTGGGAAGTCCAAGATAAAGGAACCAACCAATTTGGTTTCTTTTTTTTTTTTCCAATTTGGTTTCTAATGAGAACTCCTTGCTGTGTGCTTCGATGATCTTTCCTTGGTACATGTGTGAGAGGAGACTCTGGTGTCTCTTCTTGTAGCGGTGATGATCCTACCATGAGGCCGCCACTCTTTTTAACTCTAATTGCCTCTGAAGGCCCCATCTCCTAATACTACACATTGGGGTTCAGCATATGAATTTTGAAGTGAGACAGTTTAGTCCATACCAGGTATTAATGTGCATTTCAAAACTTATTCGTACAGTACAAGAAGTTGCTTACTGAGGAAGGACAAAAGATAGGAACCTTTGAGAGATTTATTTCTGGTTCCATGGCTGGAGCAACTGCACAGACTTTTATTTATCCCATGGAGGTGAGTACCATTGTGAAGTCTGACTGCTTGTTGGTGTTAGTATTGGCTATCTACTGTTGTGTAATAAGTTATCCCAAAACAAACAGTTTAAAACAACAGGCATTTATTATTTCACTGATTCTATGGACTGGGAATCTGGGGGCAGCTTGCCTGGGTTCCTCTGGCTCTAGGTTTTTCATAGCTTACTGTCAAGGTGTCAGCCAGGGCTGTGGTCACCTTAGTCTTGGTGGGGGTAGGTCCATTTCCAACCTCACTCATGTAGCCATTGCCTGGGCTCACTGGCTGTTGGCTGGAAGTATTGGTTCATTGTTACATAGCCTTTCTACAGGCTTCACAACATGGTATCTGGTTTTCCAGAGAGAATGCTTGCAAGAGGAAGCATAGGCACTCAAGATGGAAACTGCTGTCTCTTGTCATTTCTTTTTTTTTTCTTGTCCCTTCCTTCCTTTCTCCCTCCCTTCTCCCTTGTTCCCCTCCCCATTTGAACATTTTCTTCCCATTTCCCAATATCTACAAATCTATTATACATTTTAATACTTATTTCTTGTCACTTGTGCTGTATCCCACTGGTCACATAGACCAACCCTGGTAGAGTAGAAGGGGACCAGACACAGTTGTGAATAATTGGAGACAAGGCTTGTGTTGGGGCTGGCTTAGAGGCTGGCTGCTGTAGTATTGATCAGAATTATAACTCAGTTCCTTTCCAAAGAGTTTATGTACTAGGAATTTAATAATAGAACCTCAGGATTTGATTATAGGATGGTAATCCTAACTGGACACGCTTCCATAGCACAAGAGTTGGCAGACCATAGACCTGTGGACAGTTTAGAACAGCCTCCAGCTAAGAATGGTTTTTACTTTTTTTTTTGGTACCAGGGATTGAACTCGGGTCCTTGCAGGTTTTTACATTTTTAAGAGGTAGATAAAATCAAAGCAAAAGAAAAACAATGAATATGCAATAGACAACTGGTATTGGAATATTTTAGACTTTGTAGGCCTAAAATATTCACTATATCTGGCCTTTACAGAACATATTTGCCAACTTCTATTTTACAGCAAAAATAATATTATAGGTGTGAATATCTTTATTGATATAGCAAAGGCTTTTTGATAACTGATAAGACCTAAGCAAGATATCTTTTATTTTCACTGCTTTGTGTATGCATGTCAATATAGATCATTCATATTATTCCACACACCCCTCAAAAAAGTGTCCTAATTCAGTACCTGTTATTCCTCTTATATCCTCCAATTCAATTATATCATCACCCTCCTACCTCCCACATCCTATGCTTTTAGCTAGACACACTGGAGTTATCCTTCACATTAGCATTTCCCTCACCTTCCACACCAAGTGATTTTAATATGATATCAATAGATTATCTTTTCTCCATTTCCTCCTGTCACTGCTCTCATACAGATCCTCTTTGCAGTAAGTGGGTTTTCCTGGTTCTGGCCTTAGTCCCTTGATAGGAGTCATAAACAACAGATAACATCAAATAGTCATTTGAGCAACAATACATGCTAGGTATTTTTTCTCAATAAATTGCTTCTTTTGAATTTTATGATGCTAGAGTTAATACGAACCATAATATTTTGTGAAATTCTTTCATATCTAGGTTTTGAAAACCAGACTTGCTGTAGGCAAAACTGGCCAATATTCTGGAATGTATGATTGTGGCAAGAAGATTTTGAAACATGAAGGCTTAGGAGCTTTTTACAAGGGTTATGTTCCCAATTTATTAGGCATCATACCTTATGCGGGCATAGATCTTGCTGTGTATGAGGTGAGTTTATAGCATTGTTTTGAATCTACAAATGTAGTTATATAGCTAGTATTGCTAGAATTTGACTTTATATAAGAAATAGACAGAAAAAATAGTTTGTGACCAGACTGTGCAAGGATTTTTTAAAAAAATATTTCTATTCAAGTGCCTTGAATGTGAGATCCCATGTGCATGGAATTACATTTGTACTAGATTTCCTTGTGAATTATTTTAGTTAATGAAGAAAGTAGACTCAAATTCAGACAGTTTTTCAGGTTAGAAGATGGTATGATGGATGGAGGGGATAAGCAAAATGTTATATTTACTTTGATTTGTTAAAATATGACATTGACAAAGCCAACTCACTAGTGGAATTGATCCCTTGTAGTGAAGAGACAAAACTCGGAATACAAACCTTGGATCAACCTTATCACTTAAATCATTTCATAATTTATGAATCTGACAATCATTTATTGAGTAGACACCACGTGCAATCCACTGAGTTGGATGGTACTAGGTTTCAGTGCCTGCCTGTAAGAAACTGAAGGTCTGGTGGAGAGATAGACAAGATAACTAAGGCACAGTGTGGTTAGCTGTGCTGTGATAGATGGAAACCAGGGCGTGTGTTAGCAGAGGATCTAATCTGTAGCTGAGTGGAGAGGTTGGGTAGGATGTATAATGAAACTGTATTAGAGAATTTGCTGCTGTTTTATTCACTGTTCTGTGTATATTGTATAGCTTCTACCCCTCCTTTCCTCTCTTGCTTCCTTCTCTTATGTATATATTTTTTTGTTGTAACAGGTTTTGATTCCCTTCTCATTTCCTTTTGTGCATGTTCTATAATATTAGTTTTGTGGTCGTTATTGCAATTACATAAAATATGTTAGAGTTATAACAATCTACTGTAAACTGATTACAACTTAACTTCAATTGTATATAAAACTCCATTCCTGTCTTAGTTACTTTCTTTGTCACTTGGACAGAGTACCTGATACCTGCAGCTTATGGGAGGAAAAGTTCATCTTAGCTCACAGCTTATAGAGGTTTCAGTCTATAGTTGGCTGGCTCCAACACAGGACAGTGTGGCAGAGGAGAGCTGCTCTCAGGGCATAAAAGACTGGAAGCCAAGAGAGTGAAGGGAGGAACTGGGGAGGAGGATAAACCCTTCTGGGCCATGCCCCTAGGGACCTACCCCTCTTACCGGGCCCTACCTCCAACTAGCATATGAGCTATAATCCCCCATTATCCAGGCTCCTTCCCAAAATCCCCACCTGTGAGCACGTATGGCCTTTGGGGGACATCTAGATACAAACTATAACAATTCCTTCCTTTACAGCTCTGGCCTCTCCTCTACTTTGTTACTGATGACACAACTTCTTTTTGTATTGTGTATCCATGGACATTTTTTTTTTTTGGTACCGGGGATCAAACTCGGGACCTTGTGCTTGCAAAGCAGGTGGCAGAACCACTAAGCTAAATTCCCAGCCCTATTGTGTATCCATTAACATCGATTTTCAGTTACTTTTAATGCTTTTATTTTCTAACTTCTATATCAGATTTCAAAGTTTATTTATATACCTACATTATAGTACCGTAGGATTTTATAGTTTTCCATATATTTACTTTTACCATTGAGTTTTATGCTTTTGTATAGTTTTGTTTGCTTCTTGCTGTACTTTTGTTTTATCTTGAAGGATTCCTTTTAAGTTTAGTGTAGGGTGATATATTCTCTTGGGTTTTATTATCTGGGAAGGTCTTAATTTTTTCTGGAGGACAGCTTTGCCAATGTAATATTCTTTGTTGATAGTTTTTCTGTTTTAGCACTCTGAGTATAATATCCTACTTATCTACTGCATGGTTTCTGGTGATAAAGGATCACAAAACTGAAAAATTTTAATGTTGCATAATTTTTCACATATTGGCATATGTTATTACACTTAAAAGTTTTATGTTTGAAGAATTGACATAGCCAGGTCTGGTAGCACACACCTGTAATCCTAGCTCTTTTCAAGGCTGAGGCAGAATTGCAAGTTCAAACCCAGCCTGGGAAACTTAGAACTTGTCTCAAAATGGGGGGTGGGAATGTGGCTCTGTGTGAAGGCCCTGGGTTCAGTCCTCAGTACTAAAAAATAAGTTAGATATATATTTAATACAACTTAACCCTGTTATTGCCTTCTAATGAAATGCAAGGATGTAGAGTAATGGGAAAGAATGTGACCGTGGATCAGCACACCTGATTTTGTTACAAAGCTCCATTGAGATGAAATTTCCTCATTTCTAAAATCAGAATAGATCCATGTTATGAGTTTTTTTAAAGACCAAATGAAATAATATGTGTCAAGTGAGATACAATTAGTGCTATAATTATTTTATTGATACCATAAGAATGCTCTTTATGTCACAATATTTGGTGTGCTATTGATTTTCATGTTTTTTTTAGCAGAAAATGAGTAACCAGTGCAAATCTCTCATGAAAGCAGCTATCAAGTTAATGGTTCATTATTTTTCTTCTTTCTCTGTTCCTTGGGCAGCTCTTGAAGTCACATTGGCTGGATAATTTTGCAAAGGACTCTGCCAACCCTGGCGTCATGGTGTTGCTGGGATGTGGTGCCTTGTCCAGCACCTGTGGCCAGCTGGCCAGCTACCCCTTGGCTTTGGTGAGGACCCGCATGCAAGCTCAAGGTGAGGTTTTGATTAAAGGATGGCACTGATGGAAGATCCGCAATCAATCGCGTGATTTTGAAACTTCAAGGTCTACTGAAACAGCTGAGTGTAGTTTTAAGATACAATTTCTCAGCCATTTTTTATTATTTCCTCTGCAAGGTTTCTTTTTAGAAATTCTTTTTCTAATATCTTCCTCTTTGTGAAACTCTAATGCCATAGATACTGAGTGTATATGTGTGAATTTTTTTTTTTTTGACTCTTGGTCATAATTCAATTTATTTATTTTTCCATTAAGTTTATTGGTACATTTTAGGTATAAAATAGTTACATTCATCATTGGGATCTTGTACCATTACACGAGTATCTTGGTTCTTATTTTTTTCCCCTTCCCCTGCCCTCCCTTCCCTATTTGCAGAGACTTTGTTTATGTGTGATTTATATATGAACAGAACTTTTCTTTTTTCTTTTTTATATTTTATTTTATTGGTACATTTTAGGTATATAATATAATGACATTCATCATTGGAAATTTGCTCCTTTACATAATCTCTCTTGGTTCTTATTTTTTCCCCATTCCCCTGCACTATGTTCAACCATCCCTTCCTATTTACAAAGACTTTGTTTCCATTTTTTCATTTTCTCATATTAATTCCATTCCCTTCTTTCCTTTCCCCTACCCCTCCCACTTCCCCTTCCCCTTTGCCCCTTTTCTTCCTATTTCGCATTATCTGTTACACCTTTTAGTCCTTATTTACACTTTCAGTTTCTCACACTAGAGAAACTATTCAGTATTTATACATGTGTGTCCTATGTATTTCACTTAAGAATATTGCCTTGGGCCGGGGATTTAGCTCAGTGGTTCTGGCGCCTGCATCACAAGCGCAAGGTCCCAAGTTCGATCCCTGGTACCAAAAAAAAAAAAAAAGAGCATCGCTTCAATGTGCATCCATTTAGCTATAAATGTCTCTAAGTTCTCGTTTTTTATGGCTGAATACTACCTCATTTTATTAAAAAAACCCACATTTTCTTTATCAAGTCTCCAGTTGATGGGCATTTGGACTGTTTCCAATTTTTAGCTATTACAAACTGTGTTGCTGTAAACATGGGTGCACATATATCACTGTGGTATGATTCTTTTAATTCTTTGGGGAAGATCCCTAGCAGGGGAATAGCTGGATCAAATGGGACTTCCAGTCCTAGTTCTTTGAGGCATCTCCATACTGATTTCCACAGTGGTTGCACCAGTCTCCACTCCCACAAGCAGTGGAGCAGGGTTCCTCTTTCCCCACAGCCCCGCCAGCATTTGTTATTGGTTGGTTTCATGATAGCAGCCACTCTTTCTGGAGTGAGGTGGAATCTCAGCGTTGTTTTCATTTTGGACTGTGTTGAATGCATGTTTTAAGAGTATAAGCTTTGGTATGTAGATGAATTTGAGTTCAGATCCTTGCCCCAAATCTCTTTGAGGTTTTCAAGTTTCTTCTGTGAGTGGAAGTGAAAAGAATTAGCATCAAGGATGGTGTAGCACCTGGTACTTGTTATGTTCTTGGTAAACAGTAGCTAGAATTGTTTGTTACTGGTGCTGCTTGTACCCCTTTTGACCCATGATTCCTGCTCACTGACACTGTTCCCTTCACTGGCTTGGATTACATCCTGATTCTTTTGCCAGCTCATTGATTATTCTCTTTTTACTGTTTTTTGGGTTTTAGTTCTGTACCCATCCTATAAAGTATGCATTTTATACCTTTCTTTTTCTTTTTCCTTTTCTCCAGGCAGTCTCACATACTGTCGATTCTTTAAATAATAGACCTTGGGCATCTATTGCTCCATCCTTAACCTCTCTTCCAAATTCAACAATCTCTCTTTGGACCAAGAAGTCAGTCATTAATTGATAAGTACTTGAACCTTTACTGGGTGCTAGACACTGCCAGACATTAGAGTTAGAGCGCTCAACAAGGAGATGTGGTTGCTGTTCTCTAGAGCTGAGAATACCTACATCCAGCAAGTAAACAACCCATTAAACCACCTGCCCTTTGTTAGGGGAGTGCAGAGCAAGAGCTCTAACCTGACACCAGCTCCAGAGTTTGCTGGGCCCAGGTGGGGGCAGTGAAGGATTCCATTCTGAGGAAAAGCACATGTGAGGCACTGAACAGGAGCAAAGATGGCACTTTGGAGAAGCTGAGAGTTGATCATAAGGCTGCAGAGGAAAATGCAAAGTAGTGAACTAAATGTTTTGTGTGTATTCTCTCATGTAACCAGCATAACTATTTTGGGGTCATGATGCTAGTATTGTCTCCACTTTGTAGACAAATAACTAGGGGGAGGAGAAATTAAGGAATTTAGTGGAGATAGAATTCAAACCCAGGCAGTCTGATTCAAACTGTTGCCTAGCGGAGCCTTCCCACTCCTGCCAGCTCCAGTCCAGGTCTTTGCATGGCTGCCACATTTGCCATTTCTGAAGTCAAGGTTTGACCATTTTGTACCTATTCTACCATCTTTGTAACTCTTTAGTGTTTCAGAGTAAATTCCGAAGTTCTTGGTGGGAATTCTAAAGCCTTTAGTAATCTGGCCTCACCTTATTTTTTGCTTCTTCTATACTTCTTCACTCTACTTTCCCCATGTCCAGCTGCTTGGCACTGCTCTGTCTGCACATCTTGGCTCTGTGCACTAACAGCCACGTCTGACAGTCAGCTGGCTCCTAGCCTTGTTTGTTCCTGCCCTTTGTCTTTGTTGTGCTAGTAACACAGACTTTCATTTCTCCTTTCCTTGCCTGTTAAGATAATTTTCAAGGCTAAGATTCTTTATACTTTTCCTAAACTTTCCAAACCTTCCCCTTACTTCTCCTACTTTGCAAAATTTAACTATTCTCTCTTCACTGCTTGTTGAATGAGGGAGGAAGAGCTGGCAGAGTGGTGATAGAAAGTATATGGTTTTACAGTCAATAGATCATAGGTTCTCGGCTCTACCATTTGCTAGCTACATGTTTTAGGACATATTTCTCCATCTTTCTAAGCCTTTAATTTCCAATTTATAAAATGGCTGTATTTACCTTGTAGAGTTAGCATGGAAAGTAACCCAGAATCTAGCACACAGTAATTATTCAATAAAGTACTGTTACAGTATTACCATCATTTTTATAGTCAAGGCACTCACCATTAGTTGCTATATAAAGAGAATTATATAAAAATATATTTTCTTAGCCTGTTGAAATAATTTCATCCTTTCATAGTATTCTAGATATCATTATGAATCCTGATTATTTATTGTAATAATAATGAAATGTGCCTTAATAATAAATCAGCTTTTTTTTTTTTAAATTTTCTAGCCATGGTAGAAGGAGCTCCACAGCTTAACATGGTTGGCCTCTTCCGAAGAATAATTTCCAAAGAAGGAATACCAGGGCTTTACAGAGGCATCACCCCCAACTTCATGAAGGTGCTCCCTGCTGTAGGAATCAGTTACGTGGTATATGAAAATATGAAGCAAACTTTAGGAGTGACTCAGAAATGACACTGAAGTTTTTGCTTCAGAATGACTATTGAAACTTTCAACAGTCTCTTGAATGACTCCTCCTAGAATTGCAACATGTTTATGGCAAAAGAAACTGTATTTTTTTTCCACAAAATGGAAGAGCATATCATCAGTCACTTCAACTATTTGGGCTCAATTTTATGTATAAAAAAATCATGGTTTAAATAGGTTTTGAAAAAGCGACACAGTTGTACTTTATCTTTTCTGATTTGCCCTTCTGCAGATTTGTGCCCTGAATCCTCAATCTGAAAATGTGTTCCCTTGAACTAAATTTGCTTTGTGTGGAATAAAAAATAAGTAAAGGAATTGTTGTCTTTAAAAATGATCAGACAACATTGAGACATGTTTTATATATTTTGAATGCCTTTGTAGACTTAAAATTTTACTTACAGGGCCATTAATAGAAAATCACTGTACTTAAAATATACTGTACAGCAGCTAAATAAGTGTAGGGTTTATATCCTTATGTTTCTTCAAGTGGATTAGGAATGAACATAAGTGCCAGAATTTATAATGAAGGGCAATAAAGTAATTTATTTCAGTGGACACTTTTCTATCTTACTTGCATTATTATTTCGTTCCCAGGATTATACACTGATTGTCATATTTACTGTTAAATTATCAACACAGGATAGCTTATTTGAAAGATTCTGTTTGTTCTATTTTTGCTTTGAAAAGCAGTAGGGAACAAAACCCTTTTACTTGCATCAGTTTTTGAAGAGCATCCCTCTGTTTGTCCTTTGTTTCCTACTATTTGAATCCAATTGTTTTAATCAGGAAGGCTTTTTGGAACCATTCTTAGTAATCTTTTTAATGACCTGAAGTGGTTTGAGCATGAGTAAATGTTACACACTCATTGTACTACTGCTGAAGTTTTTTGAATCTGCTATTTTCAATTGGGTAGCACAAAGCTAAGAGAACAGTGCATATTGATAGTAGTATGTGCTAATCTTATACATTAGGCACTCAGAGTTAAATGAAAGGCCTGATTTGTAAACATATCCATCCATATTTTTACTTGCCTCAAATTTTAGGAACATGTTAGAAAATTATTCTTTTTTTTTTTTTCTGCTACCGGGGATCGAACTCAGGACTTTGCGCTTGCGAGGCAGGCGGCGGAACCACTGAGCTAAATCCCCGGACCATGTTAGAAAATTATAATATTGGTAGCCTTTTAAAATTTTACTAAAGCCATTTTTGTAGTCCACCAGCTTTCCTAATTTGTGATTAGAATTTAGAAAATATTTATTAGTTGAGAGTATTCTTAACACTCTTTAATATCATTTAGTTTCTAATACTATCTGGTATAAATTGCAACATTTTCATGAAAATCTAGTGACATAATGGGCATTTACTTTATTTGAACCTACCTTTTCTATTTTGGGAACCAAAGAGAAAAATGGACTTGTGTTTGCAAAACATACTCTAAAATATAGTTTCACTTATATTATTGATGCATCATAAAAGTCTCAATATTTTTTACATATGATAATCACAGGACTCTACAGGGTTATTTGCACTTTTGAGTAATACATAAAACATTAAGGTACATTATTAGCTCTTTTTTAACTCAAAAATATAAAAATGAACTGTCACCATTTATGAAATTTCTGCTGGTGAAAAATGTGAAAATATTCATAGTTCATTATGAATTTAAGTTGTTCCTTGTTGAACATTTGTAGTGTATGAATGTGATTTATCTGTGCTTCTTGTATCTTTTTAAAAAATGATCTTATATCTTTTAGAAAAATGCCTTGAGTTGAAGATTGCTTGTTTCTGGCGTTTCTGCATATCTACTTTCTATTTTATATTAAAAATATGTTTATTTTTAATGTGTCTTGTTTGCTGATTTTTAAAACAATTTATAAGTAAAGCAAAAATTATATCATGCAGCTTGTATTGTTGCAGTGGTTTGAATAATGCTCTTCACATTTGGCTCCCTACAGTCTTTCTAAATATTTCAGCCTTTCTTGAGCTGCCACAGCGGTTGTTGTTTATATCATACATTTTGGCATAAGGTGTGCCATTTGGTGTTGTGCCAGTAACCTGAGGCCTTGGCCCCTCTAGTCACCCAGTCATGGTCTTCATCAGTCACTGGCAAGGGGCCCTTGGTTTCAGCCAGCACGGGCCCTGGTTCCAGCAGCTGCAGCATGCTCGGAATGGGAGTGGATGGGGAAAGGTGCCTGGAGTTCGGCCTTTCCATTCTGGAAGAGTGAGGCATTGAATGGGACTTACTGACTTCCCCAATCTCTGGGCTCATCCCGGTTCCTTTTTGACCTTAAGTGCACCCCTCTGCACTTCACTGTAGGAATCCTAGCATCTGTTCTGCAGACAACTTATGTGTTTCAAAAGACAGAAGAGGCTTTAACTGAAAGTGAATTCTATTTTCTGCTCTTCAAAATCATGAAGGGAAAGAAATGCTTAAGGCTTTACTGACATGAGACAAAAGGAAAAGTGATAAGGGGAATAAACGCAGATTAGTATTTCACGAGGTTGTCTTCGTATAGGCTCTCAAACTGCCTTGCATCTTGGAAGGAAGCATCATGTGCCATAGGCAGAGGGTTCTGCACATGGAAGGCATTGTTTGGTTCATTTTGACCTAAACAGCAGATCATTCTACCCACTGACTCCAAATTTCCAAACCACTGATACGTGGTAATGTGGCTTCATGGCCAGACAGTTCAATAAACGTTGTCCAGGTTGAAAAGTAAACTGTATAACTGAGGGTTGAGAGTTTTCAAGATCATGGGGAGGAGATGGACCATGTAGGAGAAGGGAAAGTTAGCTGTAATATGGAAAAGAATGATAATTCAAACTATCCAAATTCTGAATCTTAGCTGGTTTGATGATTTGTCCTTTATAGAATGCTTCCCCCTCCTCTTTTTTTCATCCCATTCTTGAATTCTTGTTCCAGGTGCTGTTTCTGAGAGAACCCAAACTATGGCTGTCCACCACAGAGAGATCTGGAACTAGCAAAAGAAACATTTCATTTATAGAGCAGCTAACAGCTACAAGTAGAAAGCAAGACTAGAGGTGGGGAGGAGAGGAACAAAGTACTATGCCTTCAAATATATGCTGTACATGTTACTTCAGTATAAATTTAAACAATTATTTAAGACCTAACACAAATTGGAATAATGCAACAAATGAAGTCAGAAAGAGAGCACAAACAGAGTTGAGTGGCCTGGGCTCTAGTTCCCACCACTTAACTTTACCCGAGTACGTCAGTCATGTTCAAGACACCACAAACTAAGGCGGATGATTGCATGGATCTGGACAGATGTAAACTATTCTCTGTACAGAAATTTAAAGAACACTTTATGTACTTAATCATTGTGATAGAAGTTGAGTATACTTCCCACCTTGTACTTTTGCTGTTGTAAAAGAAAATGTACTCAGAATATATTGATGATCATTGTAGGAATGAGAAGGGATTTGTTAGATAGAACACTGAGCACTTTATGCAACGCTACTTTATGAAGATACACCTTTCATAGAGCACTACTGCATAATCTTCATTGATAGAAGGGGAACATTTGTGTCTTGGCTGTAATGTAGGTGGTTGCTGAATATTTTCTGGTCATCCACCCTGACTTCAGTGGAAGCTATGGCTCATGACTAAAAATTCTCTGGTTACAGGTATACATTTCAAAATTGTATTTTTAGATGGAACTCAGGAACTGCATATATTTATGGGCTGTCATTTGATGTTTCCTAGGTGTATAGAAGCCCTCCATGCCCATGAGGCCCTGGCGTCACGCTACAGGTAACTGTCAGTGACTCATTCGAACACTAGGTGGCAGACTTCTCTCAGCTAGTTATGCGGACTTCAGTTAACCTGGACGAGGGCCTTAAAGCTTTGCAGCTTTGCAGCTTTGCTTTCTCCCTTTGCCTTGACCTGGAAAATCACTGGGCTTCCTTTTAGGCCAAATTTAGATTTCCTGTACAGACCATCGTTACCTTGTTTAGAGGAGTGAAATTCGGGAGAATGTTGACCAAGAAGGACCTTTTGTGCAGCGCTGAAGAGAAGGGCTTGTTACTGTTTTAGCTGTTTTTCAAATATAGAAAAATTCCATATTTTACAAGTCAAATTAGAAAGAACAAGTATTACTGTTCATGCAGAATCACAGGTAAATGTTCAGAAATGAAAAATTGTAACTGTAGAACATTTTAGGGTACTTATTTTCATACTGTGATGAATGTATTTTCATTTGCTTAAAATTTATGCTTGTGGTGCAAAGGTGGTGAAATAAGAGAAAAATTAAAATAAACAAGTAATAAAATGCACCACAAAGTTTAGTTTTCTCTGTTCCCTTTTAGGGATTTTTTTCCCCTTTTGTACAAGAGTTATTTTTGTTGATTTGTTGGTGCTCTGGTTGACATGTTTTGAAAGAAGTAAAATTTGGGTTTCAGATTAACAGAAGTTTGCTTGGTTCAATCTGGAATAATAAGCATCAGACGAAGAATTTAAAAGGAAAATCAGGTAATTCAGTCTGTATTTTTTATTAATCTGGAATATCCTTTAGGTCCAAGAAACAAGTAGAATATAAATTTCAGTAAGGGAAAAATAGAAATTAGGATGTGGAAGAGAATGTTGGGTTCTGAAGTCATGTGGACGACCCCCATTTGATCCAACAGCTGTCAGGTCCCAATGGTGGAAACTAAAGAGGTACCACCTCCTTTACCGCTTCTCATTTCCTCCTTCCTCTCACCCACCACGCACTGTTTTCAGCCATCATTTTTTACTTCCCAAGTGTCTCTTTCCCCTGGTCTGATAACTGACCAGTAAAACACTGCCAAGTGGTCACTTCCATAAAAATGCCAGAGTCTGAATACCTTTGGGAAAAAATGCTAGGAAATAAAAAAAGAAATCCAAGGTGATAAAACTGGCCTTGTTAAGCTGTTAAACTCTGTCAACCCTGCCAGAAATTGAAATGTTTTCTGTTTCATTTCTTTTCAGTTCATTTCCTCCAAATTCTCAGAGAAAATTCTGTGCTTAAGAAAGAAACACAGAAAAGAGCTAGAGCTGGGATCTAGTAATTTTTTTTGCCCATTTTTAGGTACTGGTAAAATATTCTTACTAAATGATCACTATATAAAACTAATAAAAAGATTTTTAAAATTAAAACAAGAAATCAAAGATTATAAAAGATCAAAAGGATAAAGTTCTTTCAAAGACACCAGGGTGCATTTATTTAGCTTCCCAGTTTTAATTATATTTATTTTAATATTTGGGACATTGTTTTCAGTATGTGACACCAAAATGTATTTTGTATTTAAAAACTAATACTAATGATTTTCACTATGTCTTTTTTTTTAAAGCTCTAACACAGTGCCTCACAAACTTGACTGTACTGGAAGAAGCTTTAAAAGCCTCCACTCATTGCCCAGACCAATGGAATCTGAATTTCTGGGGGTGGGAAACAGGCACCTGTATTTTTTAAGATCCCCCCAGGTGATTCCAATGTGTGGGCAGGGTTAAGAACCACTGCAAACTGATTTCATTCTGACCACCATATACAAAAATAATGTCTTCAATAGCTGGGGTTAAAGAACTGTGCATGTATTTCAGTGCCCTCCTAAGTAGTGGAGACTTATTAGACATGGGATTAAAAACCGAGTCAAGGAAGGCTCTAAATTTTTGACCCCCAAAAATGGAAGGAAAAATTTGCCTTTAATCCAGGTGGGAAGACAGTATGAATAAATAACAAGGTGGAAGAAGTGGGAAGATGGAGGATTGGGTTTTTTACACATGAAATTTGTACTCATGAAATATCCAGGTCAAAAATTCAAGTAGACAGTTGTGGGATTCCAGGAACAGGTCTAGGCTAGACACACACAGTTGAGAGTCAGGGCATCTAGATGCTGTTTAAAGCTACAAGGACAGAAGGTCATTTTAAGAAGTGAATGAAGACTGTTCCTACAGCAGGAGGTTCAAGAGAGGATGAGGAAGCAGCCAAGGGTGTGAGAAGGAACAGTTGGCGATATTACCAGGCTTTGGGGTGCTGCAGTCTCCTTTCAGAGGTGATTTTTAGGTTTTGTCCTGAACAAAGAATGGAATGAAACAAGCATAAATGATGGTAAAGTTTTACATTTATTAAAGGTAGGGAAATACAGGCTCTGTAGAGTGAGTTCGGGCCAAGTACACGTAGGAAAAAGGGGGGAAAATACACCCTACAGCATAGGGTGGGATACTGTGAAGACACACTAGAGTGAGCACTGAAGGGTTACAGTCTCTTCTTTGTATTTTCCACACTGGCCTCATGTCCAGGTCATCCTATCAAAAACCTGCTTGAGTTCTCGCGAGAAGTCCACATGCAGGGCTTTGGGAGTGGTTCTGCGCATGTGTCCCGGGATTTTGTCGCGTACTTTCTCAGCCATTCCTGCCTTCCTGCCTCAGAGGGCTGAGTGATCACCTCAGCTGAGTTGGGGGATCCTTCCTTCTATCCTTTGCTTTCACTCCAGAGAAAGAAGAGGACGAAAAGAAGTAGGTGACACTTGCTCCTTTTACACAATTTTCTCGAGTAGTACTTATATCCACAGTGTACGCACAAAGGGCAGATAGCTTGATTCACCCTGGGTTAAACTGGGCAAGCGCTCAAAAGCATAGAAATGAAAGGGAATTGAGACTCTGGGGATGGAATATTGGGTTAGGACCATTAAATCAAAGTGGGGTAAGGGAGAAGGAAAGGACCAATTCATAGAGAAGTATGTGGGTAGGTGAATGAAGTCCCCAAATAATTGGAAGACTAAGGGGGGTAGGAATGATTAGTAAATAAACCGGAAGGAGAAAGTTGGGTCATGCATAGATTTTGAGTTGTAAATCTGACAGAGAAATAGTTTGGGATGATAACAGTTTCTAGTGACCAGCAACCTAACTTTAGTGAAGAAGGAGTGACCAGGAAATTGGGAGGGAATTGTGCTAACAGGGGGGATAGGTGGGTGGATGGCAGGGCCTTTGGCGGAGCAGGGGTTTTACAAGAGAGTGGAATGGTCTGGAAGAGGAAGTTGGCAGTATAGCGCACACGTGTCCCACCTGCCACGTGGCAGAGGGCAAGGGGAGCCCTTATAGGATGGCTTAGTCACTCTCCACCTCTCTGGGACAAAACACCTGAAACCTGCAATTTAAAGGAGGAGAAGTTTATTTCGGCTTACAGTTTTAGTACATAGTTGCCCTGCTCCAGTGCAAGAAGGCATGGTGGGAGGGTCTGGTAGAGAGCAGCTCACCTCATGGCAGCCAGGAAGGATAAGTCAAGGAGGAGTGGGAAGGGAGATAAACCAAGTGATCCATGTATCCAGCCTCTTAGAGGAGATCCACCTCCCAACCCACGCCAGCTGTCACACCCACAATCCAGTTACCTTACACAAGCTCTGCCTGCTGGCACACGAGGCTTTGGTGGGACATCCAGACATAAACCTTGACAATAAGATGGGGCTTATTAGGAAAAGGTATCAAGAGGGGAGGGAGGAGGTTACAGGGTAAAAGGAACTTTTAGGAAAGCTAATGAAAGGGAGAGTTTAAAACGTATTTATGAAAAATAGGAATACGAGGCAGCGTCGATGTCATGTCAGTCCCCTCTCTGGCAGGCTGGGGCATAGGGCCGTGCCCTAGGGTTGTTCTCTGTGACCTGGTGCAGGCCACTGCTTGCCAGCTGTCACTGGGAGGAGGGCAAGGAGGAAGCTATGGGAGATCCATCCTTGGAGGATGCCAAGGTCAGCTGGCCAGTAAGTCCAAACTGAATCATCCATCCATGTTACTAAGAAAGCGTGGAAGACACAGTACAAACCTCAAACATGAGAGGGTGGAGGAATCCAGAGAACTGTGGGACCCGTGGTGTGATGAGCAAGCAGCAGTGATAGGGAGCTTTGCTGGGGTCAGCATGGTGACCTGGATTTCTCTGTGGTAAATTTATAATTCATTCTCAATGAAGTCTAGTGTGGTGAGCATGGTTCGTTTAAAAGGGCAGGAATAGGATGAGTGGAAGACATGCCTTTCAAAGAAGGCTACATAAGTAATTACCCCACAATGACAAGCTTGAAAATAATGAAAGGAAATTTAACAATGAAGAATATAGAGGCTGTGCCTTTTAAATCAAGAATAGCCAATTAAACTGTTTTGTTATGCAATATCTCATTCATTAGCCATTGAATTACCTCTGGCTCTATGTGCTGGTTCCCTAAAGTTAATTTTTATTCCATTATGGAGGAATAAATCAAATCCAGTGAAAGGAAATCTGGCTTCTTTACTATCTACAGGAGGAGGGGGTTGAACCAAAAGTCTTTTTGAGTTTTAATATTTTTTTGGTCTCAATAAAGAAGAGGAGCCTGAGGGATAGGAAAAGAGGTCAGGTTTTATCTTTTCCACTTGAAGTACATAAATAGAACAGAAAGAACTAGTGAGATGTACATAATTGTAAAGAAGATGAAATCAACCTAGAAAAACCCAAATGTTGATGGGAATAAACAAGCATCAAGTGTTCATGATGCCTATAAAAATACAGTAATCAGTTCAAAGTTTTTTTTGATGCCTGCTGACCAGAGTTTTGTTAAGTGTCAGGTGTATACAAAGTTATGAATATGTTGTTTTGTCCTTAGAGCTCACCATCTACTGGAAAGGCTGACATGGAAAAACAATTCAATATACAGTGATAATTGCTGTAGTGTGAGTTGGTTCCGTGAGTTGTGAGAACCCCAAGCAGGAGTGTTGACAAGGTGTCATAAAGGAGATGGAATCTTTGCTCAGCCTTTGAAGTATGAGGAGAATTTTGCTGCACAAGGAAGATACATAAAGGGTGTTGTGGAGAAAGAAGATAGCACAGTAAAGGAAAGGAGACAGGGAAGGCTGTTTGGGAAAATGCAAAGTAGTTCTTAGTAATTTTCACTGGGGAGAAGGGCAAAAGCTTTGATTGAAAGATAGATTAATACTGCTTACATGCCATGCTAAGGAGTTGGGTTTCATAAAAAACCATTAGAGGAGTTTAATCAAAGGGGAATGACCTGGTCTGCTTTGTCTTTCTGAAAAATGACAGAGTTGGAGGGGAGGGGATTGGAGGCAGGTCCAGAATGAAGGGAGAGGTGAAGCTTTTACTTTTTAGACCTGTATCCCCAGTGTGTCAGGCTTGTTATTTGGTATATAATCAGTGCTGTACTTGAAAAATATTTTTTGAAGGAATAAAAGAAAGACAAGATTTCTGAGTTGAGACGATAGATACAGGATGTTGTGAGGATCCACATCTGGGGATAGCTGTGCTTCTCTTCTGCTTCGTGCTAAAGTAGTCATCCCATGCCTCAAGACCCTGCTGACCCATAGAAGCCATGTACTGGGTAGGAAGATTGAAAAGGAAAGAAACACAAAGAGCCTGCATTGCAGTAGCTGAGCGATGAGAGTTTCAAAAAGGAAGGAGTAGCCATCTCCATGTCATATAGCAGAGAAGTCCACAGAGGACAAGGTCTGGGTTTTGCCAGGGCTGAGATCTTGAGTGGCTTCAGTAGGAAGAGCTCAGTGGGGTGGTAGCAGCAGGTCCCAGACGGCAGTGGGCTGAGAAATGAAGGGAGGAAGAGAGGGCATCAATAGGGCAGATATAAAAGATTTAGCTATGAGTGGAACAGGGGGACTGGGTAGCTTGAGAGAGAGGCACTATCAAAAGCGTGTGTGTGTGTGTGTTTAAAGGGTGGCAGACCTATTCACTTGAGAAAAGCTACTAGATGAAGACAGAATAACAGAGTTAGGCTTAAATATGGATAATTGCAATTTTGATATTTTTAAGTTTTAAATTGGAAAACTGATGTTTAAAAAATGGATGGATGACAGTAAACGGGTATGTATAAGATGGAAGAGAGAATACTGGATTGAAAAGTTGGAAACCTGGGTCTCGTCCCCGCACAGGTGCTAACTAGCCATGTGAACATTACCAAGTTATGGATCCACTCTGAGCATTCATATTTTCCCTTCTCAAACAAAAGTTTTGTGAAATTTCTTTCTGCAATAAAATTCTAAGTATTTACTTTTGGCAATATGAACACATAAGAATGCGACTTATCCCAAAGTAGAATTTACTTTGACTACAACTTAGATTCTTCATCTTTGGAATTTTGGTTTATTTATATTATCTCTGAGAACAAAGGAGATTAATATGTGAGAATGAGCATATGAGACTTAAGAAGCAAAGTAGTGTGAAAGCCACATTTCTAGTTTTTAATAATTATGCTAATATTCTTGACCTAGAGACTGTGCATGTTTTCCCTATTTTGTATATATTACCTCAGAGTATGAAATCTTAGCAGAAGGGGAACCAAAATTAAATTAGCTCCTTATCTAAAGCTCTTAGATGCCCTGGTACAAACCTCTCAAGGATAATAAACTAATCATTTCCCTATGGATGGTGAAATTATGGTTTGCATAATTATTTCCTCATGATTTAATTGAAAATATTAAAGATTAAACACACAGATACCAGGGACTCTAATGCAGGAAAATGCATTTCCATCTTCCATCTCTGAAGCACTTGCAGCCTGTAAGGTTTAAACAGAAATGCTTGTGAAAAACAAAGATGAGTTTAGATATGGAGTTGTGCTATTTAAGGATGTGACCCCTCACTGATGAATAGATGCCATTTCTAGATTTCTGTTAAGAGCAGAGACTAGGACTTGCCTTCCCCTGCCTCTGACTTCCTAATTCTGCCCATCAGAATTACCTTATGAGATCTGCCAGTGCCACTCAGGCATTACACCACCAGACCTGGGTAGCTCAGGAATTGCTGGCTTGTTATCACCATATGAATAGACCCATGCTCAGCTCTCTGATGCAGGCTGAGACATAGGGCTACAACCAGTCACATTTCCTGGAAACCTGGAAGCCATCCTCAGTGCCTCCAGTTCCTCTTTCCCCCAGGTCTGGTGTGTCACATGTTACTCTGGATTTTCCTCTCTTCTTTTCCCTGTTCTCTTGCTATGCTCCTTGCTCTAATTACAGCAAAACCTCCTCCTCCTCCTGCTTCCCACTGCTTTCTTTCATATCCACACTGCTGCAAAGGCTAAGTTCCGGAAGGTGGCACTCAAGGCCCTTCTGGTTTGGTCCTCTAATGCTTCTGAAATCTTCTCTTTCGTCTCTCTTACTTTCATGTCTAGATTCCTGCCAGCAGTGGTGGTTCTTTCTTCTATCTCCTTGCCCGTGCCTGCCTGTGCTGCTCCTGCCCATGGCCTTTTCTGTCTCATGAACTTCTCTGCATGTTTTATGTCACCCTTTCTTTGAAGTTTTCCTAGTCCAATCTCTGCAGTTACTTAGAGAAGGAATTGACCATTTCATTGTCTGATTCCTCTTGTGGCATAGATTAGATATTCTACATTGTATTTAGAGGTTTAGTTTCATCTACCTTCATAATTAGACCCTGAGCTTCTTAAGAGTGGGTCTTACTCATCTTCATCTCGTAGTGTCTAGCACTAGGAAGTACTCAATGTATGCATGTTAAGTGGATCTGAATTTTGTCT